GGAACCTATCAGAGAGTGGGAGTTGGGATAGTAGCCTCAGAACATGCACTACATAGGATTTGTAATCTTGCAGCATTACCAGTAAGACATTTGTGGAAGGAAGGAAGGAAGGAAGGAAGGAAGGAAGGAAGGAAGGAAGGAAGGAAGGAAGGAAGGAAGAAAGGAAGGAAGGAAGGAAGGAAGGAAGGAAGGAAGGAGGAAGGGAAGGAAGGAAGGAAGGAAGGAAGAAGGAAGGAAGGAAGGAAGGAGGAAGGAAGGAAGGAAGGAAGGAAGGAAGGAAGGAAGAAGGAAGGAAGAAGGAAGGAAGGAAGGGAGAGAAGGAAGGAGGGAAGGGAGAGAGAGGAATGGAAGGAGAGAAGGGAGGAAGGGGCCCTCTTTCCTTCCCCAGAGCTTTTTTCCAGGCAAGAGTTCCCTTTGGTCCTGATCCAATGGCCTGCTCAAGAGCTCTCAACCCTATATACCCCCCCACAACACACACACACACACACACACACACACACACACACACACAGAGGCACACACACATACCAGCTCCTTGACTGGTCCTGATCCTAGCTTCCCTGCTCCCAAGGGATAGGATACAGGGAAGACACTAAACTTTCCTTCATTTACTATTTTCCCCTAGAAACCTCACTTGGGCTCACTTGCCACTGAGTACTAGATAGATATGGGGCGTTCCAGATGTCAATAGCTTGGCATGTTCAAGCAATACAGGTAGGGGATTGTGAGGTACCAAAACTTCCCCCTCAAGGTTGGTGTATCCATGTGGGGCATGATGAAGTGAGTTGAATGATGATCAGGTTACCAATTTGTGTGAGTCGTGATGCCAGAAGTGGTTGTATTGAGAGTGTACTGCCATGGCACAAGATGCCTATGGGCACTGAAACTTCAGCTCTTTGGGCCTGAGGAGACCAAAGAGATCTAGTGACACTGCATCTGAGAGCACAAGGGGCAACTAGTGGCTGCCTAGTGGATGAATAATAGGTAAATTGGGTGCAGTTGGTATAGGACCAGGAAATGCTCTTGACAACCACGGACCTTATGTCTTTTATAAGTCATAGCCATAACTCTTCTCTCAGGTGGGATGAGACAAAGCAATTCTTGGTGGAGACAGAGGGGATCAATAGACAGGAAGATGTCTGGATTTCTCATTTCCTTTGAAACCTGTCCATGGAAGTTTAAGGGGATCACCCTGGTAGATCAAAGCCCCACTGAACAGTGCTATTCACTATGATTGTCTGGAGCAACTAAAAAGAGGAAAGGATAGAGGAGTAGAATACATATAGACATTGTTAGTTAGGGACTGTCTTTCTGCTAGTGCCAGATGCTTCCCACACCTCTATCTAACACTTCTCCTCAGTCTTATTTAGAAGTCTAAACCGGACAGTAGTTGTCAGGGTTTTCCTCTTTCATCACGGTATGACTTGGGGTCCCATCCCAATGAAGAAGCTAATGTTGGACACTGGGTGGACCAGGAGATAGAGGTCGTTTTCCTTCCTAACTTCTCACTTTCTCCTTGGCTTTCCTCCACTGTAATTAAAAGACTGTAAAAACTAATTGAAGATCTGGACTTCAATTCTTGGGCATTTTGATGGCACCAAGATGAGATTAATTGAGAGATTATTCTCTTGAGATATTCCCCTCTTCATATTAAAGTCTTTCCCTTTTCTTCTCTGCCTTCTGACTTCCTTGGCTTCCTTCAAGTCCAAGGTAAAATCCCACTTTCTACTGAAAGCTTTTACTGATGCCCCTTAATGCTTGTGGCTTTCCTTTGTTGATCATTTCCAATTTATCCTTTATGTAATTTGATTGTACATAGTTGTTCATATTTTATTTCTCCCATTAGATTGTGAGCTCCTTAAGAGTAGGGGCTGTCTTATGCCTTTATATATCCAATATTTAGCATAGTGCCTGCCATATTGTGGGCAAATAATAAAAGTTTATTGACTGACCTATTTTTCCCTTTCCCCTACCCTTTTCCCAGTTTTGTAAAGTGAGACCCTGGGACTCTGTGTATTTTGTTTGTGTCCCTCCACTTATAGGAAAAGTGGAATGGACAGAGAGGTACACTGGGGTTGGTGGGACCTTGTTCTTTTTGTATTGTTGCATTTATAAGACAACTCATAAAACCAATAAAGTAGCAAATAGATAAATAATCAAAGAAAAAAATAATGAATAAATTAAGGAAAAGGGTATAACAGACAACCTTTGGCATCTTTTTCACCTTCAATTCTACTTTCCTGTTCTGTCCTTATTCTCCACTCAGTTTTTGTTTTTGGCTAACAGAGGAAAGTTCCTGTTTTCAATGCCAGATTTTATTGTTAATATCAAAGAAAGATAGAAATCAATTCTTCAGAAAAGTCCTCCAGCTACTTCAACTACTGAAAGCTTTCTACCTAAGCCAGAGGACCTGACTTATAGCCCTGAGTCCACCTTTTTCTGTTTATTTAACTGGGAGAGGCACTGAAGTCCAGACCTCAGTTTCCTTATTTATAAAATGGTATCCCAACCCTTCACAGGGAAAGGAAAGAAGATGGTCCCAAAGAGGATGCAATTAAATGAACAACTCTTTCATATTTGTAATGGAACCTTAACTGTTTTATACAGACTATCTTCAAAACTTCCCTTGGGAAGTTCAGTAAACTTGAGTTTCACTGTAACTCTGACCTTAGAGTTTGTATTAAGGGACATTTGGCTCCAAGGTCCTTTCGGTACTTTACCAAGTAAACCCTTTGAATGTTTTTCTTTCCCAAAATGGATCTGCTTTCTCCTGATTTCCACTCTGTATGAATGGAGTCACAGTGATGAACAGTGCAAGTATATAGGATTCACATTCTATGTGGAAAAAAATGTTCAGAGATGTGAACTGGCTTCATAGAAGTAGTTAGAGATCCTAGATCTTCCAACTCCCTTTGTAATAGTTTCACTTTACTCTTTCAAAAGTTACCATTGAGCTAATTGCCAAATTTGACTTTTTTTCACTCCTTATGCTTCCTGAACCACTGGTGTAGACAATTGTCTTCACCTGGGTACTCTCTTCACTAGGCTTTGATGACACTAGTCTTTCCTGGTTCTCCTCCTGTCCAGCTGCTACTTGTCAGTCTACTTTACTGGTTCATCATCCATGAGACACCTCCCAATTTTGAGTATTCCCTAGACTGCCCAAGGATTCCTACTCTTCTCTCTCCCTACTCTCATGACCTCATCAATTCATATAGATTGCATCTCCATTACAATAACTCCCAAATCTATGTTTCAAGTTTAAATTCTGTATTACCAATCATCTATTATATACTGCAAACTGGATGTCCCAAAGATATCCCAATATAATATAATTCATTACATTTCTACTTAATCTTTCCCCTCTGTCAAATTTTAACCTATCTGTTAAAGATGGCATCATTCTCCTGGGATTAATTGTCTACTCCTCACTTTTTCTTACCTTGCATACGCAATCAATTGACAAATCTTACACCTTTATTTGCTTCCACAACTTCTCTTGCACAATTCTTCTCCACTTACATAGTTAGCACCTTATTTAAGCCCTTATGATTTTTCACCTAGGTTATTGCTAGGTTCTACTAACTGATCTTCACACTTAAGTCTTTCCCCATTCTAGTCTATATTATTCACAGCTGAAAAAATGATTTTCCTTAAGTGCATTTTAATCATGCTATTCCTGTACACAATCATTTCCAATAACTTACTATTGCCATTAAGATAAAATATAAACTCCTCTATTTAGCTTGTGAGGTCCTATCTTTCCAATATCATTTCACATTATTCCACTTTGTATACTCTGCAATCTAGCTAAGCTCTGTTTCTCACACACAAAAGTTGATCTCCATGTCTTATACTTTTTATTGATTGGCATGCATTTCCATTTCACCACTACCTCACAGAATCTCCCATTTCATTCAAGATGCAACACAATCACCATATACATTTCAGTCCTTTACTGATCTCTTCACCTGGTCATAACCTCCCACTGAAATTACCTTGTATTTAACTGCATATATTCAAAGAATATATTCTATTTATATTTATTCTGTATGTGTCTATGTTTATCCTTGATGTCTCCACTTTGGGAATGTAAATTTCTTAAGAATAGGGACTTTTTCATTTATTGTATTTGTATACCCAAAGCCAACACAATGCCTAGCACACAGTAGCCACTTAATAAATATTTGTTGGCTGACTGATAGTATAAGTACATGAAGCCTCATCAGTCCACAAATCCTCAGAAGTATGACTTGGAAACCAATAAGGGAAACAATGGTTTGTGACACTTATTATGTTTTAAAGTAACTTCATCATTACATCCTTGAAAATGTCTTTATAAACCTTCAATGAGTTAACAATTTTAAAATCATACTTCTTATTGACATTTTGTATTTTATTTTTCTAAAAGAAGTATGATATCATTTCAGTCACTTTCACTCTCTTAAAATTACATTAGGCTCAGATAAAATATTTAGCTATTTGGAACAGTTCTGTATTCAGTAATACTTCACAAAATGGTCAGATTGCAATAAATATATCTAATATTTATGGGGGAAATTCATGCTTTGCTGCAAGCATAAGTAAATAACAGAATAAAGTCTCATTTTCATAGTTAGAGGAGGTCTAAATATACAATATGTACTTGTACAGTGTATGTACAATTTATCTGTCTGACTAGTTGATTTCTCTATGTATAAAACCATTTTCTACAAATTTTTCTAGATACTAAACAATACAAACATAAAATTTCCTACATGTGAGCATATTATCTTTCTAAATTCTTTACGTTTTGAGAGAAAGCTTTCATTTAATATATTACTAGACTCTACTACCTCTGTCGAAACCAGAATAAATCATATTTTTCTCAAAGTCATTCAACATTAATGTTCAATTTTTCTTCTGAAACTTTTAAGAAAGGGATGATTCCCATATTGTTTCTGACACTTTTATTTCAAATTATATTTTTAAAAAGAGCATTGATCCCATAATCTCCTTACCTTGACCCATTAATTTGATTGGAGTTACATTCCATCTTGATAGTAACTCTGGATGGGGGTTGTGGTAGCCAGTCCTGCTGAGGGAGACGTGGACTCATCTTGGAAGTCTGTCCATATTCACTGGAGGAGGATGCAGTCATCTCAGTCTTAGCAAGGTGTGGAGCTCCGTAGGCACACTCAAATAATGATTGATCCTCACTCACCACTGATAATGCTTCCTGAAAACCAAAAAAGACACTATTTTTCAGAAAACTTCCATAGACAATTCTAGCACTGGAGGCTTATCACAAGAAGTGGTCAGTTTCCATGATAATATAGAAAGTGAACCACAGCTTTTTTCAAGGACTCAATATGCCAGTCACTTGTCACACTGCAGAGAAAGCCTCTCTCTGCTTCTTTTTCTCTGTTGCATTGATTTGGAATAGGTCAGCATGGAAAAGCTCAGCTAGACCTTGAATCATAATAGTTTCATCTACATTAGCAGATAATATCAATGTTTACCTCAGCTGAATAAGGTTGAATTTCAATGGTTTTATAGAACATGCAACTTCACATATAGTTGTCTGACAAATGCAACCTGTCTTCCAACCATCTACTGTATGGTATTAAAACAGATTAAGAAAGCAATAGCATGACTAAGCCAAAAGCAAGGTTGGGATCCATTGTAGTTACATATCAAGGAGACTCTGGAGAAGATGCTCCTAAGAACTTCTTGGAAAGGCACGAAAATTATAGAATGAAAGGACTGGATCAAAATTTTCAAAATGTTTAAAATTTATTTAGTATTTTATTTTCCCCAGTTACATGTAAAAACAATTTTTAACATTCATTTTTAAAACTTTGATTTCTAAATTCTCTTCTTTCCTCCCTCCCCATTCCCCACCCCCACTGAGAGGGCAAGCAAATTGATATAGGTTATACATGTGCAGACATGCAAAACACTTCCATAATAGTCATGTTGTAAAAGAAAACGTAGACAAAAAATGCAGGAAAAACAAATAGTTTTTTTAAAAGTATGCTTCAATCTGTATCCAGACACCATCAGTTCTTTTTCTGGGAATGGATAGCATTTTCAACATCAGTCCTTCAGAGTTGTCTTGGATCATTGTATTGCTGAGAATAGCTAAGTCATTCACAGCTGATCATATTACAATATTGCTATTACTCTGTACACAATACATTTCACTTTGCTTCAGCCCATGCAAGTCTTCCCAGATTTTTCTGAGAGCACCCTGCTCATCATTTCTTATAGTACAATAGTATTCCATCATAATCACATACAGCAACTTGTTCAGCCAGTCCCCAGTTGATGGGCATCTCCTCAATTTCTGATTCTTTGCCCCCAAAAAAGAGCTGCTATAAATATTTTTGTACATATAGGTCCTTTTCTTCTTTGTTTTTTATCTCTTTTGCGATACAGACCTAATAGTGGTATTGCTGGGTCAAAGCGTATGCATGGTTTTACCACTCTTTGGGTATAGTTTTAAATTGGTCCAACGAATGGTTGAATCAGATCATAACTCCACCAACAGTACATTAATGTCTTTTTTTCCCACATTCCCTCCAACATTTGTCATTTACCTTTCCTGTTCTATTAGACAATCTAATAGGTATGAGGCAGTACCTCAGAATTGTTTTAATTTTCATTTCTCCAATCAATAGTGAGTTAGAGTATTTTTATATGGCTATAGATAGCTTTGATCACTTCATCTGAAAATTGATCATCTGTTTTGATTATTTATCAATGGGGAATGGCTCTTCTTTTTATAAATTTAACTCAATCTAAATTTTTTAAATGCGTATTCAGTCCATTAATTTTTCTATTTTTCTAATTTTTCTAAAGTTTTTTCATTTTTTTCTATTTTTAATGTATGTTCATAAGGGTATGGTTTTTCCCCTGAGGACTACTTTAGCTGTATCCCAGAAATTCTAGAATGTTCTCTCATCATTATAATTATCCTTCATATAATTATTAATTGTTTCTATGATTTGTTGTTTGACCCATTTGTTATTTGGTATTTCATTGTCAAGTCTCCATTTGAGTCTATATCTTTTGTTTGTTGGCCCTAAGCCAATAACTATTTGCATTACTATTAGTAAAGGATGTATTAACTATTTATGCATTTTTGCATTTGTCTGAAATCTTTTTATAAAATTTCTATGTGGTGCTAAAAAATATGTACATTCCTTCGCAATCCTATTTAGAAGACGCTATAAGTCTTTTAGTTCTAATTTCTCTAGCAATTTGTTCAGTTCCATATTTTCCCTTTCATTTATCTTTCTGTTAGACTTATCCATAACTGACAAAGGGATATTGAAGCCTCCTGTCACTGTTGTATTATGCTCTATGTCTTTTTGTACTTCAGTTAATGTTTCCTTTATGAATTTAAATGCAATGGCATTTGGCTATACAAGTTGACTATTAATATTGATTGACTGTCCATGGTTCCTTTCAGTATGATGTAGCTTCCTTGTTTAACCCTTCTTATATTTTTAATATTTTTGCTTTGTCAGATAACACAATGTAGCTTCTGCCTTTTTGGATTTATGTGGTGCATAGTAAAAAAAAATTCATCCCCTCAATTTCTTTTGTGTGTATGTTTTTGTTTTCTAAATATATTTCTTGTAGGTAACAGATTGTAGGGTTTTATTTTCTTAGCCAATCGGTCACTCATTTCCTTTACTGGATTATTTAATCAATTCACAGTCAGAGATATGAGAGTTAGGTCTACATTTTTACCCAACTGTCTCTAATATTGACTTTTTAAAAATCATTATTTTTCCCCTCCTGCTGTAAATACAGTACTATGTTTCTTCAGTTACTTTAGCTTACTCTTTTATTGGGTAGACTTGTTCCTACTGACTCTTTTCTTCATCTCTGATCTTTCCCTCCTATTTGTCAACCCTTCCTCTTTGGGGTTTTGTTTATTGATTCCTTTTCCTTTCCTGATTTTATCTGGTTATTTAATTATCCCCTCTCCCCTTTCCCCTCTCAGTTAAGCAGAATCTCTCTTCTTCCTTCCAATTAGTCCTGTTCATCAGTTTTTAGAATTTTCATTTTTAGCTCCCCCTTCTAGAGAGGATTTCTGTCTCACTCTTTTCACTATCCATTTTCTCTATCTCCTTTCTTTCTCAGGTTCATGATCCCTTATTTCTTTGTATTCCTTGTATTCCTCATGGAATCAAAACTTCTGAAAATGGACTTTTCCCTCTAAATAGCTTCTGTCACTACCTTATAGAGCTTGCCTTGAAGATTCCCTCTTTTCATTTATTTATGTTTTATTTTATTTTATGGACACATGAAACTGCAAATCTACTATTCACAACTTGCTATTCTTTTCAAATATACAACAGAATTATCATGTAAATTTCTTTTTTTCTTCCTTCTCTTCCTCTGCACCATAGAGATAGCTACCATTAGATACAAATAAGTATTATATACATATGTATATGTATATATATATATATATATACATACATATATATGTGTATGTATGTATGCATGTATGTATGTAAAATCATTCTCTACATACTTCTTTTTATCAGTTCTTTCTCTGGATGCAGACGGCATCTTTATTCGTATGCTCTTTACAGTTAATTTGGGTATTTATAGTAGAAAAATAACATTTACTCAAAGTCATTCTTAAAACAATGTTACTGTTACTGTATACAATGTTTTCTTGGTTCTGCTCATTTTGCTCTTCATTATTTAGTGCAAGTATTTCCATGTTTTTTCTAAAATCAGTGAGTTCATCATTAGTTTTCCATCACAATCATATACCACAACTTGTTCAGCCATTTCCCAATTGTGATTTCCCTTTACCATTGTGCGTCACTTCCAGAAATGTGATAGAGAGGACATTGCGCAGTAACGGGACCTCCCCCATCATCACTATGTTCTTTATTATGCAGGCCACTACTGATTTTTACTATTCCACTGTTTACCTTCTTTTCTGTATTTACTTAAAAAGTTCCTCCCTGGATCCATGCCATCTCACTTCCTCAGGTATCAATTGTACCTAGTAGTTTCAATTCCGCCCCTTACAAGGTAGGACAAGTGGTCTTTTCAAGTACCAAATCTACCATACCTCATTCAGCACAATATTTCTATCTTCTTTTACAGAATAGCTTTCTTCACCCAAAAAGGAGTGTATTGGTGAAACCCTCACACACCACCAAAGCAAGCCTCCTTTCCTCTTCCTCCTTTTCAATACTTCCACCTCCTCCTCATTCATTCTCCTGCAGGGTCTTCTCTTCTTGAGAGAACACAGGGATCACCTTCCCTCATTGGTAGCCCTCATTTTGATCCAGACACACTTCCCTCTAATCCCCTGCTGTCCTCCCCCCTTCTGTGTACCCTCTCATTTTGTAACATAGTCCCCCAAAAATTGCTGATTCATTTGTAGGCATGGTATAATCAAGATTATATCCATGCTGCTTCTCTTCGCTGTTACCTCAATCCAACTACTGCCTTCGCTTCTCCCTATGTACATTTAGAAAGTCTCTTACTTGTCTCTCTGCTGCTGCTGTCCTTAGCTGCTGCATTTATCATTCCTCCTGCATTTCTGTTGTCTGGGGTATTTGAGAAATAAATAATCTCTTCAGGTCTGTTTTTTTTTCCCTAAAATTTTTTTTCAAATGCCTCTTTATTATTGAATGTCCATCTTTTTTAATTCATGATTAAGTTCATATTTGCAGAGTAGGTCACTCTAGGTTGCATCCTGAGCTCCATTGCTCTTCAGAACACATTATTCCATTATTTCTCCTGATCACTTGCAGAACTTGTTATTTCTGAATTGAATTCTTAAATTTAATTATTTTGTGTCTTGGAGTTTACAGACTTGATTTAGTTTTTTTTACTGGAGGCTATCTATGAATTCATCCAATTGGTATTTAATTTTCTGTGTACAAAAGTTCACAGCAATTCTCTTGTATTATTTCTTGTTATGGTGTTTAAATATTTTTTTTGTCTTGCATTCTTCTGAGAAATCTATCATCCTTAGGTCATCTCTACACATTCTGTCTCCGAGATCAGTATGTTTCACTTGGATGGTCAGCATACTTTTTTTCAATGTTTGGTTTTTTTTTTTGTTGCTTCTCTTCTTCTAAACTGTTCTTCACTTCTGTGTATTTGCATTCTCAATCTATTGCTCTCTCTTTTCTTTCTTTGATGAGAATTGCCATCACAGATTCAAGTTTTTTTTTCTATTCCTCTAAT